AATAGAAATAACTTTATTATCAACATATGCCAATAAACTTGGATACAAATGTAGTTTATAATCTATATTTTAATATTGTTTAAGTTTAATTTACAAAAGGAAATATTTAAATATATTCTGTATCATGTGACAGTTTTTCATTCTGAATTGCACAATTTAGATTTCCTTTTTTACTCCTGTAAGACATTCTAAGTTTCTGGGGGAAGTATATTTTAAAATGTCAATTTATAATATCCAAGCTGCATTATTTACCAAAATATAAACAACAGACTGAAGGCCGTGCCCCTCATACAACATCCTGCTTTCAAAAAAATGTCCTAAATTCACTCTGATATTTATTATTGGATTATTTGAAACCAACAGAAAGCAAACATTTCAGTTTACTGACAACTATAGGGCACCTTCCATTGGAATAAGCAGATTTGAGTATTTTCTTTGTTTGCCACTGTTGGAGTTTTGTTTGACCAAGTATGAGAATTATTTAAGCTGAATTAGATATCAATTTTATAACATATTATTTTATATTAATGGAAATATTTCTTATTCTAAGTTGCATATTTGAATTCAAAGAATAATAAAATCTGAGACGACACCTTGTTGCCAAGAATTAGGACTAGATTTCGATGCCAACTTCTTTCCTACAAGTGCAAAAGCTTGAAAAATATGATTTTAGATGTATTTATTAAATTTCTTAGTTTTATGTATATTGTTTTATTAAAAAAGTGATTAAAATGTAACAAATTAGATACTTATTACTTTAGATGAGGAAACTTAAGTAAAATTAGATAAATAAAATACTTGTGATTAATGATAGCATGCACCAAATGCAAGAACAGTTGTATAATTCATGGTGGTAACTGGATCTGTTGTTTTCACAAATCTGTCAGGTGAAATAACCAGCCATCACCATAGTCTGATAGGGTCTAAGTACAACTGTACAAAGATAGAACTAAATGAAAAAATATTAGTTTTGGTTGTAAAAATAAATAGTTACATGGTGCTGTCAAGGTAAAAATAAAGGTAATCTGTATTTCATATTTTCTTTGTTACATGATGGTTACAAGGTCGGTCAAATGGACCGAGTCCATATACGGTATTAGAGTAGAGAATATAAGAGATAAAATATAAAGTTTTACTGAAAGAAACTTTTCATATTCATTTAGGAAGTTCTGGAGGTTATTGCAATAAAATCTGTAAACTGTAAAATGTATTTTTATTCAACATGAAAATCACCTTACACTCGGACTAGTTAGAGTCTGAATCAGACTCTGATTCCATAAATTCACAAACAAATCTTTTGTAAAAATAGTTAATTAAATATTAATGATCAGATTTTTTGTGTATATAAGACTTGCCAAATTCTGTGAAGATACACTTACTACATTAAAATTTATAGTATGTATACTTTCATAGTTACCTTGTTGTTGCAAGGTCAGTCAAAATGACCAAGCCTGTATACTGAAAGTTAAACAGTGCTCAAGATAAAAGACGTGACTATATACCAAAGTACAAACTAAACAATCCACATGAAAAATAATATCTAAGAGTTTTACACAATGCTCAACTTAAGTAATGTGATTGGAGACAAAGAATAAAGTAGATAAAGAAGAAGAAACAAAAAGCAAATGAGACAGATAAATAAGTCAGCAGGAAAAGTAGAAGTTTAAAGTAAAATCATATAAACCACTACCGTGATATCATATAACGCACATGATGGATAAGTAAGTCAGCAGGAAAAGTAGAAGTTTAAAGTAAAATAATTTAAACCACTACCGTGATATCATATAACACATATAAGTAGTAAATAAGCTAGTGGACAAAGTAGAAGTTTAAATAAGCAAGTACATGGCAATAAGATAGCACCACAGCTTTGCATGTAAACAAGTCTTGGGTACAAACCTACAATTACAATCAAATTCCAGTAAAGTTTACCAGATTTGGAAGCTCATTATTATGTCTGCTGTACCACATGAATCAGACTAACTTACATGACTTTTCTTTACCTTATGGAATTTTATTGTTGTTTATAACATTCCCAAACTACAATTCAGAAACCTCTGAAATCCAAATTAGATAAATATGTGGGTTAAACAAAGAAACAAAAAGAATTAAAAAAATATTAATCAAATTCCTTTCACAAGGAACATATAATCACAAATTCTTGATTAAATTTAACTTCTTCTCAATTAATTAATTTTTATCACTTTTTGTCAAGGACTGTTTACTTACCGAAAAAAATAAAATAAAGCCTCATTTGATGAAATAACTCCTGTTTCTTGAAGTTTCATAACTTTACTTACATCTTCTCGTATGTGGCTGAAATACAGAGTTAAGAAAGTCTGTAAAATCTATCTATTTTCCAAGTATCAGGAATAATGAACATCAACTTGTAAAAAAGATCTCACAAAATAAAGTGATGACAATGTTACTGTAAAAAAACTTTTACATGTAACACTGAACACTAATTCTTTAGACATCTTCAGATCAATACAGTAAAGTCTAATATGGTATATAAACAGATTAATACCATCCAGACTAATGCT